CTCCTTTGAGTGACATCTGAATAAGACGGACATACTCATTCTCCATTGAAGCTGCATTTCCCATTGCTCTGAGCTTTTCCCTGTGGTCTCACCGACTCTGTGCATACATTTCCCACGTGGGCAGGCCTCTCTTAACTCACCCCTGGTCATCTTCCGTGCCCCAGGTTGCACGCCACTTGTTGTATGTTACGGGTCGGTGCCAAAAGAAATGACAAGAAGACCTGATGAATGTAACTTCAGAGGTCTCACAGAGATTATTCTCTCTCCAAGTGAGCCCAGAGCCTCAGAAGCATCTCACATTTATTGAGGGGGTAAAGGCAGGCTAAGGAATGTGCATAATTACTTAAGTGAATACAAACTACTGTCTCTATTGACTCCACCATTTGCCTTACACTAGGCTCACACAAATGGTCGCTGATAACATCTCAAGCAAGGGATCAAAGGGCAGGGTGCCTGCAAGAGAAGCTGTTATCTGCAGCCTTGGGTCCTAGCTTGCCAGGAATTTGCAAACAGACAGCAACCCTCTTTGGGCTCTGTCTATTGTTCCCTGCTCTCTTGGGACATCAGGCTTTTGTCTCAAATCTATGTTTCTACAGCAGGCGGCTAGCTTCTCTTCCCACCTTTTATTGTAATGCAAATTGCCTGCCACAGGACAGGTACATCATCCACACCCACAATAATCAACCACAATCTCCAGGAGTAGCCCCATGACTGCATGAGCCTTTGGAGGAACAACTACACACAAACCATAACATTCTGCCCCGGGACCCCAAAGACTCATGTACATCCCTTAATGCAGAAGATATTATAGTCCATCTCTAAGAGTTGCCAAAGTCCTAACAGTTTCAGCATTGCTGAAAAGTCAGAGTCCCAGGATTCCTCCAAGATCCAAGGCAAACACTCAACTATGAGCCCTTGTACAATTGAAAACTTAAACACTTGCAACATTCAAAGGCACAAGATAAACATTGTCATTCCAAAAGGTACACACAGCAGGATACCAAGCATTGGGACCAACACAAGTCCAAAATCCAGCAGGGCAAATATTAAGTCTTGCAGCTCCATGTGGGACAGCCGAAGCAGTCTGTGCTGAGTTGTGAGCACCAAAGGCCTTACATGGCTTGGCCCCTAAGGCACTTGAGGAGGAACCTCCCAAGGCATCTTGTTTAGGTTGGCTTTGCTCCCTCCATGCAGTTTTCCTTGGATGATCCATGTTCCTGGCTTTTCTGAACTTCTGGGCTTCCAACTGAATAGGCTTTTCACTCACAGCTTCATACACTGCCCTCTGAGAGACACACTGACTGGCCTCCCAGGCCTTCTGAAATCTAGGTGGAAGCCTTCTTAACCTCAGAACTCCTGCATTCTACATGCTTCTAAAACCAGTGCCATGTGGATGATGCCCAGGTCAGCTGCCAGATGGAGCAGTAGCTGGAATGCTTTCTTTCTTGGCTGTAGGGGTTGTGTACCTGGATCACTGAGCACTCTGACTCTGATTCTGAGGAAGAAATTCTCCATGCCGGTGCCACTCCAGAAACTGGTGTGGCCACTGCCACCATTCTGGAACATGGGGCTCAGTGGCTTTCCCCTGAAGGCAAAGTCACTGATGTTTGCAATTCTCAGGCTGCAAAGGGTGGAGACCTGCCTCCTTCTGTGATGCCCTCAGGCCATCCTTTCCATTCTCTTGTTCCTTCCCAACAATGGAGATCCTCTCAGCTCTGACTTTGCAGTCCACAGCTTTATTGGACCTTCCTCTCTAGCCAAACTCACATTTTGGACCATCCTGTTGGACTTCTTGCCCTTCACTTTCAACATAAATCTGGCTAAAAGCCCCCAGTAACAAGCATGCCACTGTCCCAATAATTGCCTGCTTTGAAATATCTTTTGCCAGATTGATCAGTCCACCATGCCTAAACTCAGTTTCAGGCAAAGTCTCTGGACAAGAGCATAATACAGACAACTTTTCTGCCAAGTCAAAACACAAATGATCTGGAGTCCAACAACCAATGCAGTCCTTCTTCCCAGCAGAAACCTCCCCAGCCTGGTCTTTACAGGCAGGCTTTCCATCAGCTTTCTGTTCTTCTGAGCTCTGAACAGAATCTCTCAAACAGAACTGCCAAAGCTGTTTCAGTGCTTCACCTGTAGGTGACATCTCTAAATTTTTCCTATGTCTTCCCATAAGCCATTCCCAAAAGTTTGTAATCCACATGGTCAGGTTTAGCCACAGCAACAACCCTATGCCTGCGATACCAAATTCTGTCTTAGTTACTCTTCTCTCATTGCTGGGACAAATACCCAATACCCAAATTGAAGGAAGGAAAGGTTTATTTAGCTCACAGTTACTGGAGATTTCAGTCTATATTCAACTGGGTCCAAGGCAGAGCAGTACATGGCAGAAAGCAACTTTTCATGGTAGTAGCAAAGAGAAAGAGCACAAGGGAGGGGTAGCAGCAGCTAAGGTAGCTAGCTTCTTTTCCCACCTTACATTGTAATGCAAATAACCTGCCCCAGGACAGGTGCAGCATCCACACCCACAATAATCAACCACAAATACCAGGAGCAGCCTCATGACTGCATGAGCCTTTGGGGGGGGACACTTACACACAAAACATAACAATTATATTATTACTCTACAATATAGGTGGTTGAGCTTAACATCACTATCTGAATATCAAACATCTTTGATATAACATTGAATAGGTATTTTCCAACAATCGTTGATATGCTAAACTTTAAATCCCTATTAAATGTGAAAAAAATAATTACATATTTTTACACATAAATGTAGAAATCTAATTGTAAGCAGCATTGTAGCAGGACAGTCGTATGATATTTTTTTTTCTTGTCTCTTCTTTTCTTTTATTACCTTTTTTAAAACAAACATTTACTTGAGAGACAGCATACCAGTAAATGATATGACATTAGACACCGTGCACATTTAGAAGACCAGAATGACAGGCATTTCAAGCATGGGCCTAGTATTATACATTGCTATTCTTGGTGCAATTTCCTAGTTCACAGGTATCAGCATATATAGTTAGTCATGGTTAGAATCCTACCAATTAACTGCTACTTTCAAAAACCTGATGGAGATTCTCAGGACCATTGTCTTAACCATCTTGTGTATATAAATGTATGGTTTTCCCCATGCTATAATTGTTATAGTAATAAAAACTGATTAATAAGTGTATATTTATTTTGAAATCACTATGTAGCTTTCAGAAAATAGGATGTCCACATATGTATATGAATATGTAAATTATTTATAATTATGTACATCTGTACTTAATAAATTTCAAAAACAAAGAAAATAGTCTAAGGTAAAGAATCGTGCTTACAAATGTGGGATAGTGTATTAAATAAAACATATGATCAATGACTTGTTCAAAAGTGTAAGCATGGGTCCAGGGAGATGGCTCAGTTGAATAAGTGCTTGCCTGGCAAGTGCAGGGTCCTGAGTTCAATTCCCAGTACTACAAAAATAGGAAAAATTGTAAGCACACTTTGTTTAGTAGGAGATAATTATTTGTGTAGATACTACACTTGTATTTAAAAAAAATAAATTTGCCAGAGTAGAAGCATTTCAATAGCCCAGAGGTCCCTTGCTTGTCCAGAACTGCCTATGCCAGTTAAGCACTCAAAAGTTACTGCAGATGCATTTAAAAAAAGCACAGGTATAGTTCATGATGGTGACAGACTGTGACATTTCCTGTGAAATAGACTTTGTAGACATGAAGACTGTATGAGTGATGGGGTTATGAATTCTTCCACTAAGGTTTCAATGGAAAAACTGACAGACCAGTAGTGAGAGGAACAGTATGTGTTACTGAAAGAAGACCCTGAGTGGTCAATATGTGGGACTGTAAGAATCAAGCCAAAGCCATGACTAAGACATAAGAAAATAATGGTCAAAACTCGGGAGAAGCTGGAAACACCATGCACAGGCAGTCAAGAGAGAGATATTACAGGCAAAACTTTGTAGTCCCTTGAGAGTCCACATCCTATCATAGTGCATCCTAAGTACTGAAGACAGAGCAATAAGATTTCCTATTTGTCCCAGTGAGTTTCAATATTATGCTTGTCAAGCCACTTCTTGCTAATTTTTCTATTTCCAGATTTTGGAATACGCCAAAATAGATTTTTTTTCCTGTGTCATTTAACTCAGAAATATATAGCATTCTTTTGGAAGTTTTTCTTTTTCATTTTTCTTTCTTTTTTTTTTTTTGATACTGGGTCTCACAATATTGTCCAGGCCAGTCTTTAACTCACTATGTAGCCCTACTTGGGATCAAACTTGTGGCAATCCTTCTGCATTAGTTTCCCAAGTGCTGGAAGTATGTGTGTTTGCCACCCTGCCCAGCCCTTTGGGATTTTTTAAGGGTTCTCAAAAAAGCTGTGTTTCAAGTAGGCAAAGGTATAACTCTTGGTTTGCTTCTTATATTTATTTTCTCCTGAGTTAATTATCTGTTTTCTTTCATCTAAGAGGAAACTTTGGACCTTGACTTTTGAACAATGCTAGTATAGGGATAATTTGTGGAGTCCAGGGGATGGAAAGATACATTTTCATTTAATAGATGAAAATAAGACTTAGGTGTCAGGAGTATTCTATATTTTATATATCAAACATTCCCCAGCTCCCATATGATAAAGTTTTAATCTCCACCTCAGTGCTACTGGGGAGTGTTACATACTTTAAGAGATTTAGTGTTATGGGAGATCTTCAAGTGACTGCAAGGGTGCCACGGAGGGTGTACCAGGATTCTAATCACTTCTACCTCTTCATTTCACATTATGGCTATGAGCTAAATGATTTTGCTATACTGCTTGCAACTATTATTATGTGCTTCCCAGCCAACAACAAAGATATAAAAAATATGGGTACACCTTCATAAATTACATGCAAAAATGTAGTTTCTGGTAATCATGTGAGACTTGATTTTATTCATTACAGTTCCACAGAAGTAGGTATGCTCATTTGAGAGTAGTAGCGAGTGTTAGCTGTGGTAAGGTCATTCTGTGAAACCAAGGGCTCAGTTGTTCTTTAGAGCAGCTTATGAATCCACTCTGCTTCAGGCTGAGAAAAAAAGTAGAAGAAACAATAATTAAAACTTCATTGATTATAAAATGTTATACATTTTATAGATAGAAAGGAATATTCATTATTTTTCTTAATACAAAAGTTCCTGGACTTCACCTAAGTTCTAATAAGGAAAAGTCTCTGAAGATGGATATAGTTTTGCAATAAACATGTTCAACAAAGTTTCTTGAGTGATTTCAATGTCAAATGAAGGATGAAAAGTACTAAGTGATAGTCCATTCACCATTCTTATATAGAAATTGAAGCCCATCATGATGTGTTATATTATTGATACATGCTCTCATCATATTGTCTTAAATATTTTAATTCAGTAACACTTTAAAAACTAAAAGTAAGTTTTGAAACTATTTCATTGTTATGTTTCCTTTTTCTCATTAAAATGAAATAGAAACTAAAAGTATGATATGAAAGTGTATGTTACACAGTCCGAGGGTAACTAAATTATCTAGCACAATTACACAAATAATTTCATATATGTGTATTTCTGTATTTTTTCTGTATTTTAAGGAAGGGTCTACAGGGTGTTCAGGGTCTCACTACTAGATTGGACTCATTGTGATTTTCCTGTTTACAACTTCCCAAGTGCTGGGATTAGAGGCGTGTACCACCATACCCAGTTTCAATCGCTGTCTCAGACTGCCCCGGGAGCAGGGCCAGCACAGAAGGCCTGGGAATTGAAACCCCAGCCTCTTTGTCTTCTTGCAGGCACTTTAATTCACAGAACTATTGGCCAGCTATTTCTGCATATTTTTATCCTTAAATTTTCCAACATGCAATATCACAGCAGTTTCCAGTGTTTATTTCTCTTACCATTATTATTTTCCCTTTAATTTTCTAGCCTTAATCATTTATTCTTTCAATAAATACATATATTTCTAATTTATTAAGAAACATTTCCTTAGTATATATTTATGTGGATAACATATTAAATTATATTTTATATATTTATATAATTAATATATTGTTTACGTATGTAATGCAGTTTGCTAAATACTTATCTCAGTGCTACTTTGCTAAAAACATATGGTAAGTATTTTATTCATGATTCATATATATATATATATATATATATATATGTATATATATATATATATATATTTCTTCTATTTAAATTGAGTTTGTATTGCTTAAAATTTTGTTGCAAATACTTATATTTAATTCTCCAAAATAACATCTTTTCATTAACAGTGTTGATTCATACAGCAATATTCTTTCTCATGTCATTATGGCTCAAGGAACTGAAACAAAGTTTTAGCAAGATCTAGTCTAAATATATGCAGAAAATTTTCTACTTATATATTTTGATATGGAGAAACCCTGGAAATTCCAGTTTTTAAACTTTAAATTCTACTTTAAATTTCTTATAATTCAAAAGGAAAAGATTTGAAATTCTTTCATTTAAATTTAGATATAGATCTTTAATATCCTCAGTTAAGCTAGTTATTTCTGGAACAGCAACAAAAGCTTAACTTAATGTCATATTTAGTCATTAGCCTGAAAGCTTGGGAGTTAGAGATTAGTTTGAGTGGTATGTGTTAGGATATTTTTTTGAAGATGAAATAATGGAGAATATTCAGAAAATGGAATATTATCTAAGGAAGATAGATTCTGAAGGTAGAGCTTATTCTTTGTAATCAGAGTTCAACGAGAATGCATGAAACCTTATGGTGTAGGAAGAAGAAAAAGGCAACTAGTCACATTCATGGACAGAGCACAGAAAACTGGCTATACACCAAGACAATTATAAAAAAGGCAAAAAGGACTTTGGGAAGTGTAAGGTTTTAAAAAATGCACCAGAGAAGACATCAAGTATGTTTAATGTTTCTCCCACTTATTTTGTAATTTTTTGTTTCTTAAACTTATGAGCAATGTCACAATACCACATTGTTGATTTTATGTTCCTAAGCTGTCATCACATATGCTGTGATACCTTCTCCTTGATTAATATTTTATATCATGTTCTAATGCTCTGTCTCATGATACAATCTTTCAGTCTGATATAGTTGGGTGTTATTAGACAGAAAATTGCATATTATGTATGACTAACACAATTTTACTCATATTTCACGCTGTAACACAAATATCACTTTTACACTCTTGTTAAATAACTAAGCTAGCTTATAAAAAGGGAAAATTTAAAATCCATAATATCCAGCTTCACCTGTATTAGCGTAATTGCTTAGAAACGTTTTTCATTTTTTATTTTCTGATTATCTAACAAATACTGAATTTATTTATTAAAAATATTGAATATGAGATACTCTCTTGTGTAATCACACATATTCATAAATGAAATACAAATTTGATACACAACCAACAGTCAACATAGTGAAAAAAATCAAAGTTTTAAAAACTTAACAGCAAAGAGCAAATTCTATTTAAAATGATAAATACAATAAGAATGAGAATATAACAAGTAACAATTGTTGCAGTTTTGAATAAATAGTAGGAGTTGCCTCATTAACAAATTGACACTTGAAAATTTAGGGATAAAAATACACAGAAATAACTGGTCAAATAGCTCAGCAGATTAGAGTGCCTGCAAGCAGGCGCAGGGGCCAGGAGTTCTAACCCCTGGGCTATGCTGAGATTGGGATTTGACTGACACTAGCAGATAAAAAGTTTTCTTGTTATGTAGTCTTGCTTTATCTTTTTCTTAACCATCCAGCATAAAAGTATAAAAATGAAGTAAAAGAAATAAAGCCATACTAACATGCTGAGCTGTAAAAGGCTCAAGTCAACAACTTCTGACATTGCCAGTCATGCAGATAACCCACTACTATTATAAATTACTGGACAATATTGGATTACTCTGATGAATTCATGCATCAACAATATATGAATGACAATGAAATTCACATCTCCAACAAAAGTAAACTAAAAATGGAATGAAATGAAGAACCTTTTGGTAGTGAAAAATATATACATCTGTATATACAAAATAGCATAGATATTCAGATAATTTCTCTTAGTCAATGAGAAGAACGTTTTGAACTATTAGTGTTTAGGCAAGATATCATGTCTGCATCTTGTACTATGAATAACTCCTACAAAGACAACGATATGCAATGTATTAATTATTGTAACTGCCCTACTAAGCTGTTTTGAAACTTTCTCATTGCTCTTTGTTTCTTAATAAAATTATTTTTTAAAAAAAGTGACTGGGCGTGGTGGTGCCTGCCTGTAATCTCAGGTTTTGGGAGGCTGTAAACAGGTGGATCCCTATGTGTCTGATCTAGCAGTGAAACCCTGAACACCCTGTAGACCCTTTCCTAAAATAAAAATAAATAAATAAATGAATAAATTGACATTTGAGCAAATAATTAAAAAATGTGTTACACAAAAAACCGAACACACCAAGAGATAAATTACAGAAACCACACCTTTCACAATGATATAAAAAATATAATACTTAAGAACCAGTCTCACAAAGGAAGTAAAGGATTTGTACAAATAGATTATAGTACTCTTAAAAAAGTGATTGAAGAGAATTTCAGAAAATAAGAAGATATTCCTTGCTCCTGGATAAGAAGAACCAACATTGTGAAAATAGCCATCTTTCCAAAATTGTTATACAGATTCAACGCAACCCAAATTATAACACAAGTACTATAACTCACAGATGTAGAAAAAACATTCCTAAAATTTATTTGGAACAAGAAGATACCTAGCATAGCAAAAGCAATTACTGGAAACAAAGGAAAGTCTGGTGTCATCAAAATCTCTGACCTGAAAGTATACCACAAATCTACTGTGATAAAATCAGCACGGTAATGGCAAAAACACAGACCTGAGGCTCAGTGAAAGAGAGTAGAAAGTGCACATAGAACTACAAACACACTCAGCTACCTTACATTTATCTCCACATGATGCCAAAGTTACTCTCAGAAACTAAGACTATTACAAATTCCAAATCCAAGCTAATTTGTACTACAGACAAATTTCCCAAATGAACAGATATAAAAATCCTTAATAGGATACTGGTAAGTAGAATGTGGAAAATCATTAAAAGATCATATACCATGAACAAATATGCTCCAAAGAACAAGTGAACATATTTCAACATACTAAAATCAATCAATGCAAATACATCACAAAAACAGATACAATGACAGTAATCTCATGATCATCTCAGTGGAAGTGGAAAAAATCTCTGACAAAATTCAACATCCATTCATCATAAAAGAATGAATAAAATAGGTATAGAAAATCTTTATTTGAATATCATAGCAGCTACTGCCAACATATCAAAGTTGAAAAGCTGATGGCCTTCCCTCTAAAATTAGGAACAGGAAAAAGATGTCCATGTCTACCACTCTTATTCAATATAGTCCTTGAAACATAAGCCAGGGCAATCAAGCAACAGATAGGAAAAAGATGCATATGAGAAAGTACAAAGTAAAACTATCATTTTTTGCAGATGACGCAATACTTTAATTACAAGATCCAAAATACTCCTAGAATTGAAAACTAAATTCGACAGTATAGCAGAATATAAAATAAATACAAAAATCATTACCATTTTATACACTTATAATGAAATTGCTCAAAATATTAGGAAAACAGTATCACCAACAATTTCATAAAAATTAAATAATGAAGAGTTACCCAAGTAAATGAAGGAAAGAGCTTTGCATTAAAAAAATATATCATAATGAAAAAGGGAATTTTGCAGGACATAAGAAAATGCAAAAGATTTATTTTTTCCTGGTTAAGCAGAATCAACATAATCAAAACAAAGCTATAGTTTCAAAACTTATACATAGATTTAATGCAGTCCCAACAAAAACACCAATGTCTTTTCTCACAGAGCTATAGAAGCAATCCTAAAATCTATTATAGATCAGAATAGCAAAATCAAACTTTAGTAACAAAAGAAAAGCAGATGGCATAAGAAGTCAAGATGTTATATTATAAAGCTACACTGATAAAAACAGAATGATTGTTGCACAAAAGCAAGCATATGGAATAGAGCA